GGTGGGCGGGGTGGAAATCAAATCACGTCTGGATTTCTCGTGTGTTCTGTGGTTTAAATTGTGGTTATTTGTTTTGACTTTTTTTTTTTTTTTTTGGTAGCAGGAATTAAACTCAGGACTTTGCGCTCGCCAGGCAGGCGCTGTGCCACTGAGCTACATCCCCAGCCTTCATGTTTTGAGACAGGGTCTTGCTGCATAGCCCAGGCTGGCCTTGAACTTACAATGGTCCTCCTGCCTCAGCCTCCTGTACGCTGTGTTACGGTATGCGCCACTAGGCCCAGCTATGTTATAGTCCTGATGTTTAACTGTGGGGCGGGGACGAGCATGCTCACCTCAGAGCACACAGCCGAGCCTCCAGTCCGCTCCTCCTCGTCCTCCTTGCTCTGCTTCTCCCTCTTCCCTTTCTTCCCCTTCCTCTTCTCCTCCTCTTTTTTTTTTTTTTTTTGGTTTTTCTCCGGTACCGGGAACCGAACTCACGACCTTGCGCTTGCCAGGCAGGCGCTTTTGCCGCTGAGCTAAATCCCCAGCCCCCTCTAACTTTTTTTTTGAGACACAGTCTCACCATGAAGCCCAAACTCATCACCCTCCTGCCTCAGACTCCTGACCTCCACGCCCGACTTCCACTGCTCCTCATATTACTTGTTCTCTAGGATGTTCTGGGGCGATGTTTCCCTAGTTCCACTGGGGGGAATGGAGACAAGGTCTCACTACGTAGTTCAGGTTAGCCTTGAACTCATGGCGATCCTCCTGCCTCAGCCTCCGGAGTGCTGGGATGACAGGCGTGCGCTATTGTGCCTGGTGGTTTTCCTGGTTCCTAAAGCACTGGTGCCCAGGCGCACAGCCATCTGTGCCAATGGGCAGAGTTAACGTAGTTGCAGAGGGCCGCAGCGGTGGTGTGCATGCGTGTGGACATGGACACTGTCACCACTGGGGCCCAAGAAACCCAACGTCAAGGCTACCGCCAGGGAAGCCCAAGGGGGAGCCACACTGAGACCGAACCGGCCGGGGTGCACCCGTGAGAGAGCTGGCCTCGCTTGTGTGGTCCCCAGTAAATCAGCTCTCCAGGCCCAGCGGGAGGCAGCTGCAGCTCCCTGCGTGGGTCTCCCTGCCCAGGAAACACAAACGCTTCACAGCGGCCCAGCCTCACTTTAGCAAACCCAGTGCGAAATGTGAATTCTTCTGCTCACAACTCCGCAGACACAGTTTTGTTTGTTTTGCTTTGCTTTGTTTTTCTGCAGACACAGTTGAGGGCAAGAAGAACGCAGGTCTTGTCACCAAGAGGGCAGAGACAAAACAAAGCCAGGTACAAATTAAAATTTCCAGCTGGGCGTGGTGGCGCAGGTCTGTCATCCCAGCACTTGGGAGGCTGAGGCAGGAGGATTCTCACATGTTCAAGGCCAGCCTGAACTGCATAACGAGATCCTCTCTCAAAAAACTAAAAATAAATAAACAAAATCTCACCAGACATGCTGGGGTCCTGGGTTTGATCTCCAGCACCACAAAACATAAAGATAAAATCGTGGCACAAGCACTCAGGCTGGGAAGCCTCGAGGGACCCGGGAGGGGGGTGTGCACCCTGGGGGGCAGGGCGGGCAGCAGCTGGGGGGTGGGGCCTATGGGGGGCAGGCCTGCTGCACACTGCCTGGCGAGCGCAGGGAGAGCCCCGGCGGGGGACCTGTGTCCCCTCTTCCTGGGCCCACCGGCTGCACCCCCGCCCACTCCACCTGGAGGACTGCAGGGCCGAGCTGCTCTCTGCATCCTCCATTGCAGCTTTCTGCAAATGCGCACGAAACAGATCCCTTTCTGAGATAGTAAAACCCACATGGCAAGTCAGATTTATCATTTTAATTAAATGTACTTTACACGCTCAGTTTTTAGGGAGCAGAATGCCCCCCGCCAGTTTTCCTTTTGTGGGAGACACTTGAGCACCCTAAGAAGCCGATCACGTGACCCCAGCAGGTCTTCCCAGCCCCGCGGCAGCAGAGCAGAGCAGAGCGGCCCTGAGGTGAAGCAGCGAAGCCTCCCCCAGGAGACCCACAGACCGGGAGTCCTGCCCAGCTGCCCTTGGTCCCAGGGACTTGGGAGGCTGTGCTCGGGCCAGGAGTTCAAGGCCAGCCTGGACCAACATAGCAAGAGCCCATCTCTTAAGAAGTAATGAACAAGCCAGTGCTCGGAAGGCTGAGGCAGGAGGATCACTGCAAGTTTGAGGCCAGCCTGGCGATATAGTGAGATCCTGTCTCAAAACAGCAGCAACAATAACAAGGATGATGATAATGACATTTTAAAAATTAAAAATAAAAGTATGAAAAAAAAGAACAACCTGCTAAGGTCTTCGTTAGCTCAGAAGCTGCTCCCCGAGTAGTGGAGACAGGAAATTGGTGCTGGTCCCCTCTGCCCGTGGGGTACAGGTCGAGCCACTCTCTGAACTCTGGGGCGCTCAGCTGGAGGAGCCGGAGGGAGAGGCGAGGGTCCAGAGGAGGAGGAGGGCGCCCACGCCCACGGCACAGGGCGGATCTCAAGCTGGGTCCAGAACCTGGGGTCCTAGTTGGGCGTGGTGGTGCATGCCTGTGATCCCAGCACTCAGGAGGCTGAGGCAGGAGGATTGCCATGAGTTCAAGGCTGATCTGGGCTACATAGTGAGTTTAAGGCCAGCCTGGACTACACAGTGAGACGCTGTCTCAACAAAATAAAACAGAATGCAGGGTCCCCTCTGGTTAGGTGTTGTGTCTTTCAGCACGCAGCCACCAGGTCCTCACAGAGTGGCAGAGCGCAGGGCCCTCACCCGGAGAGGGCTCCACTCCGGGCCCCTGAATGTAAACCAGCCGCTGTGGTGAGTCACTGGGTAAGTCTGGCCAGGGTCACTGCAGGGTGGGCGACAACCCAGACAGCACAGTGCTAGCCGAGGCCACCAGGTAGGGGCCACAGGGATGGAGAAAGCGCTTTCACCCAAGCGCACACCTGTTATGTCACCATTCCAGGAGGCTGAGGCAGGAGGGTGGCAAGTTCAAGCCCAGCCTGGGCAACTTCTCAACTTAGTAAAATCCTGGCCCAAAATAAAAAATAAAGGGGTTGAGGACACGGTTCAGTGTGAAAGAAAGAAAGAGAGAAAGAAGAAAGAGGTTTTGTTTGGGGGAAAAGAAATAAAAACAGAGGTCCCCCAAAGAGGGTTCTAGGAGATTCACTCCCCTCCCCAGTCTCTGGCCAGCCCTGCCGTGGCCAGCTGGGCGTCCACCCCACCGCCCATTATTACTGAAGAAGAGCAAATATAGACACTGGCGGGCAGAGGAGCGGCTAAGTGGAGCCGTGATGTGTAATCTTCCCAGTGAGAAATCGCTTTCCCCGCGCCCCCCCGCAGGAGCCGCGGCCCCCCATAACTCAAGTCCGCACTTAATTAAAAAGGGGGCGTCTTGGAACGGGCCCAGCTGGCTGTGGTTCCACCTTCCTCCTTCAGGCTCCACTGACGGCGTCCATCCCTCTCGCTTTGACAGAAAGGGGCAAAATTCAAAAGGAGGAAAAGAATCCTCTGCCCAGCTGCTCGGCTGGAGGCCGGCCCTCGGGTCTGGAAACCGAGCCGCGGAAGTCAGAACAAGCAGGCTGAGCAGGACAAAAGAGGCGCTGCCCTTTCGGAGTCCTGAGCTGCTGCCCGCAGCTGACGGAGCGCTGAAGTCACCGGCGCCTTCTGCGAATCAGAAGTGCGTCGTCCCCCAGGACACCCTCGGTGTCTGGCCGCCCTGCCTGGACCCCGCTCTCCTTAGGAGCCCACATTCCAAAGGAAAGCAGGACACAGGGATTCAGCTTGTTTGAAAATGTTACAATACGCCAGGCACAGTGGCACACACCTGTTGTCCCAGCCACTCAGGAGGCTGAGGCAGGAGAATTAGGAGTTTGAAGCCAGCATGAGCAACTTAGCAAGACCTTGTCTCAAAATCAAAAGTAGAAAGGGCTGGGGGTGGGGCTCGGTGAGAGCTGCACTGGGTTTCTGACGCGTTCCAAGTACCGCCCCCCAAAGGTGACGACTCCCCCGAAGTACCCTAAATCCGGCTCCTCACAGGGGCCGGCCTGAGCCACAGAAGTCACTGTGCTCACACTCGAGTCCAGAGAACGACACAGCTGTCACACACAGGGGCTCCCTGTCCCCACCGCTGAGCACCTCAGGAGCTCCCTCAGGCCCTGGCACCCCCCAGGCCCCCAGGACGCCCCTCCTGCACTGCCACAAAGGAGAGGTCTCAGCTTTGAGCCGCTGGCACCGAGCGGCCTGCTGGGCTGCGCCCTTCCTTGGGGCCAGGTGCAGCGGCTGTGGGTCTCGGGACCTGCGGGGCGGGAACAAGTGAGCAGAGGAAAGCGGCTTCCCTCCGCGTGATAAACGACACCAGGGTGGGGGCCTCTGACCTGGTGGGGGGGTCATAGATGGACTCTGATAACAGCTGTGCACCCCTTCTTTAGTTTCTGGGGACCACATCCCAGATGCGCGTTCAGAGCCTCCATATTTTAGAGGAAACCGTGTAAAAGTGCAGCAATGAGCAAAGGACAGCAGGGGAGCCCAGCATGCAGATGCATACTTATAATTCCATCAGTCTTGTGCAGGAGGCTGAGGCAGGAGGATCTCAAGCTCAAGGCCAACCTGGATTACACAATAAAAACTTGCCGGGAGTGATGGTGCACACCTGTAATCCCAGCACTCAGCAGGCTGAGGCAGGAGAATCACTGTGAGGTCAAAGCCAGTTTACACCACATAGTGAGTTCAAAGCCAGCCTGGACTATATAGCAAAGCCATGTCCCAAATAGGTAAGTAAGTAAATAAATATTAAAACAAAAAAGAACTTTTCGGGCTGGGGATTTAGCTCAGCGGCACAGCGCCTGCCTGGCAAGCACAAGGTCGTGAGTTCGATTCCCGGTACCGGAAATAAGCCAAAAAAAAAAAAAGAACTTTTCTCATCTTCCAAGAATGTTTTCCTTTTTTGGTGCTGGTGGTGGTCATGACCCACTGTCCCTTAGGAAAGGCCCCAGTCTCCCCCAGCCCCCAGCCCATACTCTGCAGTCTGGTTCACCCCTACACACGCTGCCATGACAGTTCCAGTCTAGGAGGCCCTAGGGTGACAGGACACCTTTGTCCCTGTCCTCCCTGAGCTCCGCCCCCCAAACCTCTGAGACTCCGGAGGTCCTGGGACCTGAGGACATTTCCATCTCCAGTAATGGGCGGGGTGGGTCACCCATGGAAAGGCCCCCATGAACCTAACCTGGAGCTCGGAGTCTAGCCCTCTGCCCAAGGAGGGCCTGCCTCCTGGAGGGCTGCCGAGCCCGGTGGTCTGTGACCCTCTCCCTTCTGCTCCCGCACCTCCCCGACCTTCAGGGTCTTGAGCTCCTGAAGTAGCCCAGGTTGGCCTCAAACTCTCCATCCTCCTGCCTCAGCCTCCCCAGTAACTGGGATTAATTACAGGCAGTGTGCAGGGCTGCACCCACTACATTCCTCACTGAGCCTCCCAGGAGACAGAGCAGGGCCCCAGGGGGCTGCAGGGGAGAGAGCAGTGCTGTGGGAGCCCCTCTGCCCAAAACGTGTTGGGGGAGCGCCTGCAAGGCCTGCGTGCGAGGGGCCTTCAGGGTCACCTGCGGTATGGCCCTTGGTGCGGGTGTTGTGTTGCGAAGCCTCCATCTCATGTGTCGACTGAGGGCACAGTGAGGGCGGTCCAGGAGTTCCAGAAGGTGCAGGCTGGGAGCGGAGCGGGCTCGGGGGCTGACCGGTGATGTCACTCTGGTGTGAGACAGAGGGGCCCCTAAGCTTCCCTCCCGGGGCCGTGGAGAGGAGCTGTCAGAAGTGGTGCAGTCCAGGTGACAGCGGTGGCCCAGGGAGTCTGGAAGGCCCTCGGTCCCCACCCAGCCCTCGGAGGTGGGACAGGAGGGCACCTCCCCGGCCAAGGGAAGAACTCAGAGCCGCGGGGTGCTGCAGGGACCCGCACCCCCTGCACTCCGCAGGAGAGGAGGAAGCGCTGCCCTCCCCCACCCCGGGACTCACAGGACTCCCTAAACTGGTTCCGTGCGCCCAGCGAGTGGGATTTGCTGGGGCCTGTCCCTGCTTCCTGGGCAGGGCTCCTGCTAAGCACAACTGGCGTTTTTCACGGTACCTGTTTGGCAAACAAGTATATCACACAACCTTGTAGGCTTCTGGAGACAAAGGAGACCCCTCGCTGACATCCGTGTTTGCAGATTTCTTTCACCCCGTGAGCAGAAAAAAAGTCGGCCCCTCTCCCACCCCAAACCAGGGCAAGCACAGCAGGGAACCGAGGCAAGCCCTCACAGGAGCTTTCTAAAGGACGGGCAGGACCCGCGAGCTTCAGCACAGCGGGGAGGGACTTTATTTTCACTTGTCCCAGCGGACCTTGTGGAATGAGCGCGGAGCAGCTGCCCGAGGTCTGCGGGAGGGGTGCGGGGAGCGCCCGCGTGTCGCTGCCTTCCGGGACCGCCTCGGCCTCGTGTGGGGGAGGACACACTGAACTAGGTGCGTTTGGAAACCAGCCCCTTCCAGCGAGTTTGTACAGCCGGGTAGCTGACGGCGCAGCCAGCGGGAAGCAGGGAGCCTGAGCGCTTCTGGAAAGCCGGGACCGGGTCCAGGACGTCAGAGGCTCAGCTCACCTGCCTGCCTGCCTGCCTGCCTGCCCCTGGGCTCTGCGTCTGAGCAGTAAATACGGAGGCAGAGATGAGCGCTCGAGGAGACGGAGACCCTGACCGGCTTCTGGCCTGCACTGAACTCACCTGGGTCCAAAGCAGCGAGGACTTGGGGCTTTTCTCCCAGGATCCTCTGCTGCTCCCGGGGAAGAGGGACAATGGCCCACTTACTCTCAGAACTCTGAGCCACAGCAGTCAGCAGAAAGTGGGTCACAAAGCAGCTCTGCTGAGCACAGGCCCCAGGGAAAGGCCTCAGTTCCGGGCCGGTCGCATTTATTGAGCACCTACTGTGTCTCCATGGGTATCGCAACGCCTAATTCACGGAATCGCAGTCTTGGCGGGGGGCCTGCGGCTGCGGACTCCGGGGTACTGACTGGCTGAGGGAGCTCGGCGGACTTGGGTCCCCGCCTGAGCTCTCGTTTTCAGCATCCGTGAAATGGAAACAATAGATCGGCCGCACCCGGCTGTGGGAACGAAACGAGCACGTGGAAGCCCAAGCTTCGTAAATGCCGGTTATTGCTGCTCCTCTGGGCACGCGCTCCCCGCCCCCACCCTGCCAGGCGCGCACACGGACACGTTCTCACTCCCCCTGCACTCCGGGGCACGCAGACGTGTGCCCACGCCGGCGTCTCGCACCTAGGGCCGAAGCCGAGCGCGCCGGAGGAGCGGCGGGGCCCTCAGCTCCGCTCCTCTTCCCTCGGATATTTATGAATGAACTCTGGTCGCGAGGAGTTTATTTTTTTATGAATGGGAGCCCAAGACGTGAATGAAGCCCAGAGCCCGCCTCTGCAGTCTGATTGGCTCCTAGCCTGGGAAGCCCCGCCCCCGGATCGGGAGAGCCCGCCTCCGGATTGGCCAGCGGGCCGGGCCCTGGGGTTTCATTCACGAAAGTCAATGAAACAAAGGGAGCGGGCGGGGCGGGGGCCAGCGGGGCCGCGCGGAGGAGACGCACCAATCAGCGGCTCCCCCGGGCTCACGACCGGCCTCAGCGCCCAGAGCAGGCGGCGCGCTGGGACCCGGCC